CGGCCATTTCTGGCCAGCAACTTTCAGCGTCATTAAGCCGCTGCGCCACCACGTCCCCCTTTCCAGAACATATGCAAGCCCAATTAAATTGACCGATGAGACGTATAAAATAACTGTAGAGTAAATAAAGTTCTAGGGAAAGCAGTATTTAGAAAGTGTGATTCTCCTTGTAAGTTCCTTTAAATGTACAGGTACTCTGCTTGCAAGGTAATGTGTCACTGAAATTGTTGCCTCTCAGTCTTCCTCTCGCAGTTCAAACTCCTTTTGGATAATAACCAGTGGGACCCTGAGACGGAAGAGAGAGACCGAAAAGCCTCCCTTGGCTGCCAGAGCAGAGGTGAGGAAGAATTAATTGCAGAGGAGGGAGCTGGTGCTCAGGACTCCCCGGACAGCACTGAAGAGGAAGGTGACTTCTGTAGAGGAACTGAGGCCTTGTTGGATGAAGATGGGGACCTGCAGGTGGTCCGGAAAATTCCACTACCTCATACAGGAGATGCAGATCATACAAGGTCTAAGGCCTGTCCCATCATTTTGACTAAGGGTGGAGATGTCTTGGAAGAGCAAGAGCACGAGAGCAACGGTTGCAATATTGTTAAAATAGGTCAGTAACACCATAGCCCTTTATTTATTTATTTTGTTGTTGTTTAGTCGTTAAGTCGTGTCCGACTCTCCGTGACCCCATGACCCATACTGCGCCAGGCCTTCCGGTCCTTCACTGCCTCCCTGAGTTTGCTCAGTTTCATGCTCATTGCTTCAGTGATGCTATCTAACCATCTCATCCTCTGCCGTCCTCTTCTCCTTTTGCCTTCAATCTTTCCCAGCATCAGGGTCTTTTCCAAAGAGTCCTCTCTTCGCATTAGGTGACCAAAGTATCTGAGCTTGAGCTTCATTATCGATCCTTCCAATGAGCAATCAGGGTTGATTTCCGTTAAGATTGACTGGTTTGACCTCCTAGCAGTCCAGGGGACTCTCAAGAGTCTTCTCCAGCACCACAGTTCAAAGGCATCAGGTGACAGTATACAGCCTTGTCGTACACCTTTCCCTATTTTGAACCAATCGGTTGTTCCGTGACTGGCTCTAACTGTTGCTTCTTGGCCTGCAGGTGACAGTATACAGCCTTGTCGTACACCTTTCCCTATTTTGAACCAATCGGTTGTTCCGTGACTGGCTCTAACTGTTGCTTCTTGGCCTGCAGGTGACAGTATACAGCCTTGTCGTACACCTTTCCCTATTTTGAACCAATCGGTTGTTCCGTGACTGGCTCTAACTGTTGCTTCTTGGCCTGCAGGTGACAGTATACAGCCTTGTCGTACACCTTTCCCTATTTTGAACCAATCGGTTGTTCCGTGACTGGCTCTAACTGTTGCTTCTTGGCCTGCAGAAGAAGAACTAAAGAGCCTCTTGATGAGGGTGAAAGAGGAGAGTGCGAAAGCTGGTTTGAAACTCAACATCATGTGAAATGAGTGCAATTGTGCGATAGTTTGAGCATTCTTTGGCATTGCCCTTCTTTGGAATTGGATATTTATTTATTTATTTATATATAAATAAATAAATTCTATATATAGAATGTAGACACGATGCATCTCACAAGGAAGTGACTTCGGTATATTCATTTCTTATACCTTGATCCGGATGCACTTGTGGGTAGAGATGTGAGGCCCGAGCCTAGAAAGCTGTTGTCTCTTAGTCTTTCTGTCTCAAAGATGATCTGTAGAAGGCAGAGCAAAAATAATTCTGTGTAAAATAAATTTTGTAAAATGTATGCAAGGCCACATTTGTGTACGTAGAGCCTGGCAGATTGAAGTGAATCCAAGGTTTTCAGCAGCTGCTTACATTTCAGTAAGGCTGACACCTGTTGTTGTTTTCTTCCTCTACATAAAGAGTGGAGTGGTATCAGAGGAAAAACCCTCTTGGCAGTTGGGGGGCTTTGCTGATAATCAGATCTATATAGGAAAAGGCTTTATTTTGGGTTCCCTGGGTTCTGGTTGATGTTTGACAAAATATTGTTGCTCCCCATACAGTCACTTCATCCCACTGCTTCCTGGTTTTACTGATAGAGCGTTTTTCCTCTTTCCTCATCCGTTCACAAAAGCGCTGTTATCCTGACCTATGTTAATAGTGCCCTAATAGATTGTTTTAATCTTTTTGATCTGTGATTGGTAATAAATGTAGGTTGCATTTGGTTCATGGGAGAAGATTCAGCCAGACCCATCCATGTACCGATACTAATCTTGGTTGCATAGATGTGGGTCACACTCATTCCTCCGGTCTGTCCAAGAGATAACCTTAAATTAGGCTGTGGAACCTCCATGGATCTTAATCTCCAAGCTTCCAGATATTTTCAGCTCTTTCGAATCTATAGAGCAGTGTTCCTATGCTGGCTGGGTAATTCTGGGAGTTGAAGCCCACACATCTTCAAGCTGCCAAGGTTGAAAAACACTGCTATAAAGGGTTCCTTTTTCACATTTGGGAAGAAGAATATCTCAATTCATTTTTGAATACAATAGTGAACAGGAATAAAAGCTCATACTGTAATTTTCTACATTTCTGATTCTTGTCCTGCCCTGCCAGAATGAACTACACAGCTTTCCTACAAGTGAATGCATATCTCAATAGAGGTAGTATTTCCCACTTCTACCTTTTCATGTTCATATTTTTCTGAGCTTTATCACAAAAGCAATTTTGAGGAGAATAAGTTATTTGGGGATGGGGGAAATGCATTTGGCATCATGGAAAAGATTCTTCTTATGTTTTGCTCTTCCAGAGCACACCATGGCGACACCTTTAGAAGATGTTGGGAAGCAGGTAAGAAGCATATTTGCTGTCCATTTCCTGTCCGTTTAAGTCCGCACCTCGTGCGACCCTTACCTCTTGTTTTGAAGGTCTGGCGAGGAGCTGTCCTGCTTGCTGATTACATCCTCTCCAGACAAGATTTGTTCAAGGGTTGCACTGTGCTGGAGCTTGGGGGAGGAACCGGGGTTGTCAGCATTATCATGGCAAAAGCTGCCAAGACCGTTTATTGCACAGGTATCTAGTTCAGCTCTTTTGGTGGGTCATTTTGGGAAATTATTAGTCAAGTTGGGATATTAAAAGCAAAGAACATTTCAGAAAGGGGTCTCATGCTTTAAAATGCCTACTTTCTTCTTTGTTTGACTCATCTTGAAATTATTATTATTAGATTTTTATCCTGCCATTTATTTATTTATTTATTTACATACATGCACGCGCGCACATGCATACACATACAGGTCAACATGCCTAATACTCCTGCCTCCTATTTTCCCCACAACAACCACCCTGTGAGGTGGGTTGGGCTGGGAGAGAGGGACTGGCCCAAAGTCACCCAGCCGGTTTTCATGCCAGAGGGAGGCCTAGAACTCACTGTCTCCTGGCTTCTAGGTCAGCACCTTCACCATACTGGCTCTATGGTATTCTGATAGCTCTTTACTTGTCTTCTTTTTAAGATGTTGGTGAAGACCTACTGAGCATGTGTGAACGAAATGTAGCCTTAAACAAGCACTTCATTGGGCCAATAGGTAAAAGATGAGTAAGTTCCATTGAATATAATGGGGGCTGATGTTGAATGAACATGGATACGGTTATGCTGCCAAGTGCTTTCAAAATTGTTTAACGTTTTCATGTCTAGCAACCAAGGCAAACATCAGATTTGAGATATATTATTTAGTCGTATGTAATTAATATAGTTGCTTTTTATATATTTTAAAACTTGGTTATGATCTCGAGTGCTGCTTCTGGACAAGAGGCTACTGAGTTTTATAATTTTAATCTAGTTATTGGAAGTTCTGTAGAACAAGAAATTGTGAACAAAAAATGATTAGTCCCATAATCCTCATGGTTCCCATGGATATCTGAAAGAGTATTTCTGTATTAGTAGCAATTTTCTCGTCCTCTTGATAGAAGAAAAGTATACTGCATTGCTCTAGCTATTACATGATACTAATTTGCCTTCTTGTTTCAGTCTTTTTATGGTCATAGGGCAGCATAAGGGGGTGAGGTGCAGTCATTAAAAAGAGGCCTAAAAATATAAAAGATCTAAAAATAGATATAAAAAGTGAAAATTTAAAAAGTTCTCAAGCTGAAATGCATAGAAGATATAAAAGGAAAAAAGAAAAGATATTAAATATATTAAAAGTGAGAATCTAAAAGGAGGGGTGGAAGCATTGGACAGGTGTATCAAGTTAACAGAGCACCCTAAAATGGCAGACTGGGGGCGCATTGATTCTAATTTGTAATGTTGAGGGCGAAGCACAAGCTGGAAGTCATCACCTGACAAATGTTGAACGCTGCCTCACAGAGCCTGGCAGCATTATATGTGGTAGCAGGGTTAGCATCTGGAAGTAACAGGGTGGTCTAAAGTTGGCCTATGCGTTCTGGGTCCTTATGTAATGTTAGTAGGATTAGAGTAGCATAAATGTCTCTGTAATATGAGAAGCACGTGCTCCATTGTTTCTGCGTATCCAAGGTTGTAATGGCATTGCCACTATGTTCTTACTTGTTTTATGAATTATTTGTACCCTAATAGTCTACCTTTCTTGCCACTTATTCTGTTACGGATTTTCAGGAACTGAAATTAGAGTCAAAAAGCTGGATTGGCAACAAGATGATTTCTGTACCGGTATGTAAGCCTTCTCAATAGCTGAGTTTGATGTTTTCTTTCTAATTTTAAAACCAGGGATTTATTTAAGATGATGAAAGTAAAGAGTTTTGCTTCTGAGGATGTGCAAAATACGTTTCGCACTTCATTGAGTAAACCATACTGGTTTGGTTAATTGGCAGTCGAGGATGCGAGGAACAGAATGTACAAATCAAGTTGTCACAGGCAACTTAAAATGTCCTTTAAAGAGAGAAAGGTTATTCTCATTTTCTGTCTTTTACTGTGATGGGCAAATTTTCTTTTAAAATCAAAAATTTACTTGTATTATTTCACACCATCAATGGCCGTGGCACTTAGGGTGATATGAGGTGGAAAACAACAATTTTTGAATGGAAGTGTCAGTGTATGAGAGAGGAAAGAAAAGAGGTGAATATGAGCAAATGTGGTTGGGAAGAGGCTAAACCAAAGCTTCCCAGAGCGGGTGGGTTCTTCTGCTATATAAAACCTGGTGTGTAACAGGCTCAGTTTTGTGACAGATGCATGTTTGAAAGCAGAACTATGAAATAAAAATCAGCCTTAACCTCAGAGCAATGGTCTGAAGTTGCTACTGGATTCCCTCCCAATATAGCTGCTGCTTTTTTTTAATATGTTAATCTTATAATTTAACTTTTTTATTATTTTTAACAAAGCAATCATTATTCCTAAAGAAAAAAAATGAAAAAAAGTACAAACTAAGAGGGAAAAAGGGGGGAAAATCTATCTTATATTTTATATTTATCAATAGTTACTGGTTTACCAGTGAGTTCACTACGATAATATGAACGATACAAGATACTATTGTAAGCTATCACAGAATATCTGCCATAGGGAACAAATATTGCTGCATCTTTTGATTAGTAGAGAATATTGCTTTTTCCAAAACAGATAAATCCCACTTTCCAACAGCCATTCCTTGACACCAGGAACAATATCACTTTTCTGATTCCTTAATATAATTCTTTTTGCCGCCTCCCATGCACGATGCAACCACAATTCCTGATAAACAAATTCCAAAGCTTTGGTATTTAGTTATATTACTTTGACATTTAAAGATTTTTCCCGCAAATCTATTAACACACAGTAATACCCTACCCCAAAAAGATGCTAAATGATCACATGCCCATATCATATGTCTCAGCAAGCCCTCCAATTTTTTACACCTCTATAGCATAGGAAATCCGATGTCCATCCTTTAAAAATATTCTTTGGGGAATCCGTTACACCCTAAATACAACCTTTTGATGAATCAACCTTAATCTCTAATCTGTAGATTCCATCCCAGAACTGCTGCTTACTCATTGCTGTTCCATTTGGCTACAGCAGAAGGAACCAGCATCAAGTTCCACCCGCTTGGCTGTGGCTAATTCTACCGGTTCTCCCTGTGTCAGGATTGGCCTTCCATGTCCAATATCTCCAGCCATGACATATCCCCAAAATCTGGCTGCCTGAGTGTTGTTTTCTTCCTATCAATACCTTTTTCCTTTTATTTATTTATTTTTATTTATTTATTAAATTTTTCAACCACCCATCTCCCCCCAATGGGGGAACTCTGGGCG